ACATTACATAAACAAAATAAATAATAAAAATCATGTGATCATATCAATAGATGCTGAAAAGGCATTTGACAAATCCAGCACCCATTTCTGATAAAAATGCTCAGCAATGTGGGAATAGAAAGATCATATTATAATAAAATAAAGGCCATATATGAAAAACCTACAGCCAACATCATACTCAATGGGTAAAAACTAAAAGCATTTCCCTTAAGAACAGGAACATGACAGGGATGCCCAATTTCACCACTTCTATTTAACATAGTACTACTGGAAGTCTTAGCCACAACTATCAGACAAGAAAACTTAAAAGGGTCAAATTGGAAAGGAGAAAATGAAACTGTCATTCAGAGATGACATGATATTGTACATAGAAAACCCTAAAGATTCCATCAAAAACCTACTAGATTTAATAAATGGATTTTGCAAGGTAGCAGGATACAAAATTAACATCAAGAAATTAATGGCATTCTTATACACCAATAATGAACCCTCAGAAAAGCAAACTAAAAAAAGAAAATTCCATTTACTGTTACAAAAAATAAATAAAATACCTAGGAATAAACTTAACCAAGAAGGTAAAAAACCAGTTCTCAGGAAACTACAGGACATTGAACAAAGAAATAGAGGAAGATGTAAAAAAGTGAAAACACATACTATGTTCATGGATTGGAAAAATCAACATTAAAATGTCCATACTACCCAAAGCAATCTACAGATTCAATGCAATCCCTATTAAAGTACAAGCGGTATATTTCACAGATCTGGAATAAATACTCCAATAGTTTATATGGAACCAAAAAAGACCCCAAATAGCCACAACAGTCATGAAAAAGAAGAACAAAGTAGGAGGGATCACAATACCAGATATCAGGTTATACTACAAAGCCATTGTAATCAAAACAGCCTGGTACTGGCACAAGAACAGGCATATAGATCAATGGAACAGAACTGAGAACCCAGATATCAACTCAAGAAAGTATGCTTAATTAATATTTAATAAAGGAGGCAAAAGCATACAATTGAGAAAAGACAGTCTCTTCAATAAATGGTGTTGGGAAAATAGGACAGCTACATGCAAAAATAATGAAACTAAACCACCAACTTACACAATACACAAGAATAAACTCAAAATGGATAAAAGACTTAAATGTAACCCGTGAAACCATAAAAACACTAGAAGAAAATGTAGAAAGAAAAATCTCAGACATCATATGTAGCAGAATTTTCACTGATACATCACCTAGGGCAAGAGGAAAAAGGGAAAATTAATACATGGGACTACATCAAACTAAAAAGCTTCTGCACGGCAAAGGAAACCGGCATCAAAATAAAATGGGAACTTACTCTCTGAGAGAACATATTTTCCAATAATACATCAGTTAAGGGGTTAATCTCCAAAATACATAGAGTACTCATACAACTCAACAAAAGGAAGACAAACAAACCAATTTAAAAAATGGGCAGAGGACCTGAATAGACATTTCTCCAAGCAGGACATACAAATAGCCAGGAGACATATGAAAAAATGCTCAACATCTCTAATCATCAGAGAGAGGCAAATTAAAATGACTATGAGATATGACCTCACACCTGCCAGAATGCGGGCCATGAACAAATTGCCGAAGAAGTGCTGATGAGGATGTGGAGAAAAGGGCACTCTATCACCCTGCTGGTGGGAATGCAGACTGGTGCACCCACTGTGGAAAACAATATGGTGTTTCTTCAAAAAATTAAAAATTGAACTGCCATTTGACCCAGTGATCCCCTTTGGAATATATCCTAAGAAGCCTGAAACATCAATCAGGAAGAATATATACACCCTTATGTTCATAGCAGCACTATTTACAATAGCTAATATCTGGAAACAGCCCAAGTGCCCATCGATAGATGAGTACATAAAAAAGCTGTGGTACATTTACACAATGGAATACTATGCAGCTTTAAAAAAAGATCTCTTGCCCTGGCCAGTTTGGCTCAGCGGTTAGAGCGTCGGCCTGTGGTCCAGAGAGACCCGGGTTCGGTTCCTGCTAAGGGCATGTACCTCGGTTGCAGTTTGTCCCCGGCCCTGGTTGGTCGTGCGGGTGGCAGCCACTCGATGTGTCCCTTCACATCGATGTTTCTCTCTCTCTCTCTTCCTCTCTCTCCTTCCCGCTCTAGCTGAACAAAAAATGGAAAAATGTCCTCGGGTGAGGATAAAAAAAAAAAAAAAAAAAAAAAGATCTCTTACCCTTTGAGACAACATGGAGGGACCTGGAGAGTATTATGCTAAGTGAATTAAGCTAGACAGAAAGACAAGTACCACGTGATCTCACTTATTTATGGAACATAATGAACAAAATAAGCTGTCAACCAAGAGTGCAGAGTCATGGAAGTAGGGAACAGACTGTCAAACCTCAAAGGGATGGGAGGTGGGAAGGGAGGGAAGAGATAAACCAAAAAGATTATATGCATATATGCACAACCAATGGACACAGACATCAGATTGGGTAAAGCAAGAGTGAGGTGGGAGCAGGTCACTGGGGAAAAAGGGGGACATCTGTAATACTTTCAACAATAAATTAATTAATTAATTAATTAATTTAAAAAAATAAAAATATACTATGTACTCCCAAGTTTTCCCATTGCATGTGAGTGCATAGAAAAAAACAAACTGCATTTGATGTCCTAAACTGTGTGGTAAGGTAATAAAAAGAAATAGAATGTGTAAGGATTGGAAAAGATGAAAAAAAGTCTCATAATAAGTGGAAGATAATTTATATATCTATAAATTATAAGATAGAATAGTCTTGAAAGTTTGCCAAAAACAAAATAAATACAAATTTTAATTATATTTCTATAGGCCAGGAACAAATAGTTGGAAAATAGTTTAAAATAGCATTTAAAAATCCCAAGTACTGAGTTGCACATTCCCGCCAGATAGTAGCTGCCTAAATCTCTCCTTACAGCTTTCAAAACATATATATAAATGACAAATAAAACCACCCATAATTCACATACAGAATTATTGAAGGACAAAAAATACTATAAGTTTCAATTTGCAAGTAAGTAGGAAATAAGCATGCCAAGCTAGCTGACCCAGCTCCAATGCTCACTCTGGAGAGAGTTCAGGAGTGACTGTGAAAAAAAGAGGAAAGGTCAGCGTGAGGCCTAGTGGTGGTAAAACACATAAAATCACTTCTAAAGAGAGAAAGTCACACCCTGAGTGATGAAACACTGATATTTGACACTTGCTGGATCATAGCATTGACTTGCGAATAACTGAAAGGAAAGAGATTGAAAGTATGTGGGACGACTAAAGGCAGATTTGGAAAGACAAAAGATATATATATCTTTTTCTAGTCATGGGGGATACATATCTTGGACACTTGGTGATGAACAACAACAATAACAAAAAGTCAAATAGCCCGACCAGTGGATTGAGCATTGTCCCATGGACTGAGAGGTCAGGGCACATGCCCGGGTTGCAGGCTGGATCCCTGGTAGGGGTAGTGCAGGAGGCAGCCAATGGATGTTTCTCTCTCACATCGATGTTTCTATCTCTCTCTCCTTTCCCCTCTCCCTCTAAAAAAAATCAATTAAAAAAAATTTTTTTTAAAGTCAAATGGTGGAAGTTAATTTCCTTTAAAAGCAAAGCTAAATCACAAGAAACAAACCTCTTACTGCCCCGTCTACTAAAGAAATATATTGCACTTCACTTTATCAACAGTAGGGGGTACTCCTGAACTAAGAAACCTATTAAGTCTCCCAAACCTTTTATAAAATCACCTTTTATTGCTAGAACAAGAAAATACAAGGCATTTCTAAATGAACAGAAAATGGCAAATGAGATAAAAAGTATTGTTTGTTCTTGATTTTTCACTCCCTTATTCCTTGAAAACTCCATTGACTTTGGGCTTGACTAATGAAATGTAAGTAGACATGACATACACCACTTCTAAACAAGCTTTAAATGTGATTGTGTGTTTGGTTCAGTCTCTTGTGCCTCTGCCTTCTACCATGAGACAAAAATGTGAAAGAAATGACAAAACTATGAAATCAACTTGCAACTATCAGTATACTATTTAATGCTTGTTAGGAACTTGAATGGATGCTAAAAACATTGGATGAAAGCTTGATGGGGAATAGAATACTTACAATGGTCTCACAGATTGTTAGGAAAGGGAAATAGCTACCTTTATAATAGAGTGATCTGTTGGACACCATCTTAACAAAGTGATCAAACTTTATATCAATCATGGTACAAACTGGTATCATGAGTCACCTGATGCGATGTGATATATCAATATGTTAACATTTGATGAATCTAGTTTAATGATTTAAGTGTTCGTTGTATTGTTCTTTCAATTTCTTGAGGTTGGTAATATTTCAAAATAAAAATTTGAGGGGAAATAAGTCTAACAGATGTGAAAGCCTTCAAATTACCATAAACATTTGTCAAAGAATCTCAGAACAGGGACCTTAATGTTTCTCAAAAATTTTCTCAAACTTTAACAAATGTTTATAGTGTATTTGCCACGTATATACATTATGCTATATATTCTACAAGTGAAAGATCAGCTACTAAGGTCTCTGCCCTCATGGAGCTGACATTTGGTGGCCAAAACAGAGGGAACGATCAATAACCATGTAAAGAGGTAAGTGAGAAGATATTGAATGCTATGAAGAAAATGAACAAGTTAAGGTTTAGAGTCAACAAGAGTCCTATTTTAGATGGCATTGATCTCTCTAAAGAGATGGCATTTAAACAGAGACCCAACAGATAAAAATGGGGTTACAGAAGAGGTAAGAACATTCTGAACATGGAGAACCACATATACAAAGGCTCTCATGATAAAAAAAAAAAAGTTGGCATTGTCTAGGAACTAAAGACAAAGGCCTCCACAGCAGGTAAGCAGGGTGCTCTTAATTCTAGATGTCACACCCACTTTCCCCGGCTATGTTGTGAAAACGTAATTTTTTTCCTGTCAGACAACTAATAAAAACTATTATTACTCTTTCAGGTTTTCCAGGGAAATCAAGACTCCTTCACACCTGTGGTGAACTCTATAGACCCACCGCTACTGACGCGCTACCTTAGAATTCACCCCCAGAGCTGGGTGCACCAGATTGCCCTGAGGCTGGAGATTCTGGGCTGTGAGACACAGCAGCTGTACTGAACATTACAAGAAATAAAGTATGAGACCTTTGGCATTTTCAAGGGAATAGTTCTGAAGACTTCATAAATTCTCCTGATCCAATAAAACCACTATCACATAGAATTCTTTCCATAAAATGTAGTAAAATACAATTGTTTATATGTATACAATCATAAGATTGTCTTAAGTGCCCCTCCCACCCCTGTTAACCCGGTACCACTAGGATAACCAACCATCCCCGTTTGGCCTTGCCAGTCCCCTTGCTCCTCCCTCCTAGGCCCAGACCATTCCTTAACTCCAGTCCAGCATGCCTCTCAGATTTGCCTTCTACCTGTGAGCCTGGCCTCCGGGTTACTTCCTGCCCTACACTGCCCATGACGCTATCATTTTTCTGTGTATTTAAATGATGCAGTCCAAGCAGACACTGCCCTGAAGCTTCCCAAATTAGTTATTACTAGTCCTGCATTTTATGGGAGTGTTGCATCCTATTTAACGCTTAAGCTTTTCTGCAGCTGCTCAAAGACCGATCCTTTCTCCCAATGTAATTAGGGGGAAAAAATGAGGAAACCCATCTGGAAAACATTCTCCTCCTGACAAAATAGGTCCCTCACACAGCCATCACTTCCTCCTCTGTAGAAAAACAATGTATTTAAAGTTGGCAGAGATATTCCTGATGCAAGCATTTCAGATTAGGCTTCAAGTATTTAAAATAAAACTCTCATTTTTTATTATCCTGGTCATGCATGGAAAAAGACATATTTGGAGATCATATCACCACAACCTTGAAGTTAAAGGGCAAGTCATTTTGACAACCTGCAAAGTGGAGATAATATAAAAACTACTACATTAAAGTCTATTTTTGCCTCCTTAAAAATAGATATAATTATCTTATTTAGCCATCTTGGGGCACTGTTAGTGGCACATTCTTACTTCAAAAGCTAGTGTTGTTAAACTAAGGCTCATCAATGGGAATCACGAGCCCCAAAATCCTCTGGATTAGATACAACATTTATGTATGAATGTATATGTGTGTTTTTCTGACAGGAGTATCCAAAGATTTAATAAGATGTTTAAGGGGTGCAAGGTTTTAAAAAATATCAGAAAGCTCTGGCCAGTTTGGCTCAGCGGTTGGAGCATCGGCCTATGGACCAGAGAGTCCCGGGTTTGGTTCCTGCCAGGGGCACGTACAAAATATATATATATATATATATATACACACACACACACACATTATATATATACACACACACACACACACACACACACACACACACAAACATATCAGAAAGATGTAGAAACAAAGCCATTTGGTCTTAATTCAAGTCAACAAAAAATATAATAGGTTAGGATCACTAATACAAGAATACACTCTATGTTCCGTGTACTCACAACTGTAAACCTCCTTTTGCCCCACCCTGTATAATCACAATCCACTGATCAAGGTGCAAATGGTTTATAGTCCTATAAGATTCTTTTAAGGTTAGAGGTTAATTTATAGAAATCAATAAGTTGTTTTGCTTTATAACCTGGTAGAGAAGTTAACCCTAAAGGTGATGTGGTTTTATTTTCTGTATAAAGTTAAGCACTATTATGTCAAATTTAATAATCTTTTTTTACAGGTTCCGAAGGGAAATACTATTGAGTATTTCATTGATTCATAGTAACAGTTTTGTTAGAGAATATTCAGGAAGCTTTGTGCCACAAAGTGCATTTATAAAAGGCAATCGCTACTCAAATTATCTTTGACTAAATCTGAAATAGTATAATTTAATAATCTGATTTTGGCATTCTTTTCCCATTGACTATATACATCTCTATTTCTCAGATGTTCTTGGAACCAGCTTTTTTGTTTTCCGGCAGGTTTCCTCAATGAGCAGTTAAATAAAACATTGACACATACAAGCAAATGGCCTTTGAGAATTATATTTTTACCCTTGAAATAAAAATGTGAACAATAATATTTTTTAAAAACAGAGGCACTGAATAGCAGGATGGACACTTTAGAAAAGCAAATTACAGAGTTAGAAAACAAGATTAAATTGAACTCACAGCAAAAAATAATATGAGGCAAAATAAAAATAAAAATTCAAAAACTAGAAATGGCGCCTTGGCCAGTCTGGCTCAGCCGTTGAGTGTCGGCCTGCAGTCCGGGGTTCGGTTCCTGCTAGGGGCATATACCACAAAAACAAAAACAAAAACAAAAACTAGAAATGAAGCCTTGATCCAGGAGATGAGCTTATATAAAGGGAGACTGAGACAGCAATGGAGAGTTTCTGTTCAACGGGTATAGTGTTTCGTTTATTCTAGATGAATTAGTTCTAGAGATCTGTTGTACAACACAGTTTCTATAGTTAATAAGGTATTATGCACTTTAAAAATTTTTTTCTCTAGCCCGAGGATATTTTTCCATTGATTTTTTCAGACAGAGTGGGAGGGAGGGAGAAACATTGATAAGAGAGGGACACATCAATTGTTTGCCTACCACATGACCCCGACGGTGGGGGGGCGGGTGGGATCAAACCTGAAACCAAGGTATGTTCCCTTGACCAGGAATCAAACCTGCGACTCTTGGGTCCCAGGGCCAACTCTCTAACTGCTGAGCCAAACCAGCCAGGTCTGCACTTCAAAATTTGTTAAGAGGATAGATCTCACATTAAGTGTTCTTACCATAATTTTTTTTAAATGGAAAGTCCTGAGGGAACAATCAGAATAGATGTCAAATAAAACAATACAAAAAATTTCTTTGCCATAAAATAATAATAATAACAAAAACAAATTTAAATATTCAGATCAAACAGTGTCTTAGTACAAGGCATAAATAAAGAAAGACCAGAACAGAACATAGCCTGGAACCAATGTTAAATTCCAGGGATAATGTACAAGAGTGAGATTGCGCATTGTTTACTGGCATAAACCAAGTCAGATAGGAAAACAGACCCTTGTTAATACCATAAAATCCACATAATTTTATAATACTGGTTGTGTTATTTATAAGATCACCGAGATCATAACAACTTAATTATCAGAAGATTGGTGAGCAAATGCAATCTCTTATAACAAACATAGTTTACAACTTTAAGTGAACCAATATAATTTTCTGTCACAAGTATTTTATTTTATTTTATTTTATTTTATTTTATTATTATTTTTTTTTATCCTCACCCGAGGACAGTTTTTCATTCTTTGTTCAGATAGAGCAGGAGGGGGAGAGAGAGAGAGAGAGAGAGAAACATCGATGTGAAAGGGACACATCGAGTGGCTGCCACCCGCACGACCAACCGGAGCCGGGGACAAACTGCAACCGAGGTACATGCCCTTAGCGGGAACCGAACCCGGGTCTCTCCGGACCGCAGGCCGATGCTCTAACCGCTGAGCCAAACCGGCCAGGGCTGTCACAAGTATTTTATCAATTTCAAAATTACTAGTCAATAATCTTTGGAAGATAAGTATTAAAACAAATATCTCTCAGTGTTATAGAAAATCTCTGTATTCTTTTTAGTACACAGAACATATAGAAACCCAGCTTTATGATGACAGATTAAATATAGACTTAACTTTAATATTTATGAACTGATTGTAACTATTCTTAACCTCCTTCTTTGGCTATCTAATCCAAGAGTAATGACTGACAAAGCACTCCCAGAAATTTGTGGGTATGATTTAATACATATTGCTTAACCAAGACGGACACTTTCAGTCACATGCTTTTCTATTTTATAAGAATAAAATATTCAAGACATTCTATCAAGATGGATCATCTACAAAAAAAGAATTAAAGTGATATCAGTGGTGGTCACCTGTTCTTTGTCTACCTAGCATCCTTTCCTTTGGGAAACAGCCCTTTTCACATTCCTACTTGATTCATTTTTTGTGAACCAAAATTCCGTTTTGTTTTTAAAAAAGTTGGGTTTCTGTCACTTGCAACTCAAAGAGTACTTTCTAAACTTCATATTTGGCTCAGCGGTTAGAGCGTCGGCCTGCGGTCCTGAGAGACCCGGGTTCGGTTCCCTCTAAGGGCGCGTACCTCGGTTGCAGTTTGTCTCCGGCCCTGGTCGGTCGTGCGGGTGGCAGTCACTCGATGTGTTCCTTTCACATCGATGTTTTTCTCTCTCTCTGTTCCTCTCTCTCCCTCCCACTCTACCTGAACAAAAGAATGGGAAAATGTCCTCGGGTGAGGATAAAAAATAAATAAATAAAATAAATAAGCTTCATATTTTTCAACTGCAATCTTCAATTCAATAATTCACAAAGATGTGAAGAAAACATTTCCTCAATGTACTCCAAAAATGTTTTCAGCCAAAGTATATACATATTCACATATCTCTCTTTTTATGCCAATTTTTCTTCTAGGCACAACATCTAAATATCCCAGTGCTTCCCGGCTGATGTGGCTGAGTGGTTGAGCGTCGACCCATGCACCAGGAGGTCACCGGTTTGATTCCTGGTCAGGGCACATGTCCAAATTGTGGGCCAAATCCCCAGTGGGGGATATGCAGGAGGCAGCCAATTGATGTTCTCTCTCATCGATGTTTAACTCTCTCTCTCTTTAAAATCAGTAAAGAATAAATAAATACATAAATAAATAAATATCCCAGTGCTTATTGTATACTTTGCCTCGAATATCCCACATATTATTTTACTTGTCCTCTCTCCTAGATCTTCACTCAGTATTTGGCATAACTATTCACCAAACCAGAAATTCAAATTTTATTGTTGACACCTCCCTCTCCCTCACTGCAGCATTTCCTATAATTCAATAGGTGCTATTTTCCCTCAAATATTTCTTAATTCATATCCAGCTTGATCATGCATCACTCCCCCATCTCCCACTTTGCAAATGCTCCAATTTGTCATGCTCCTTTTTGCCTCCAGCCTTTTATAACACCATTCCTTCTGTATCAGCTTGTCTCTGCCTCTTCACCAATCTCGCTAATTCCTATTCATCTTTTACATGTCAACTTAAATGCCACTTAAACATACTTTCTTCTGAGGAGCTTCTTCCTCACATGAATCCTGCTCAAATTGGTTACTTGGCTCTCCCCCCGCCCCATGCTTCCCCAGCAGCCTATCATTAATGTTTTGAAATTGCTTGAGTACTTCCAATTAAAGATTGTGAATTGAATGAAAACCTTAACCTTCACTCTCCAATAAAATTACCATAAATTTTTAAAAGGGGAAGGGCTTCATAAATTCTTAAGGGAGAGGAGACCAGGATAATAAAATTTTAGAAAGCAGAAAGAATACATATAATTGTCAACTAACTTAGAAATCCCTAGAAAGCAGAATCCTAGGCCTATCAACTGGGAAAGCCAAGAAGCAACTGGATTTATACTACAGAATCCTCAAAAACAACCAGAAATTAGTGGCATTGGGTAACTCTGGAAATGGAGGTACAGGTGGCATGCTGAACTAAGGAAAATTACTTGAGAAACTGTTGAATGAGACCATTTGAAAAGTAGTTTAATCCTACGACCTGCAATTTTCTATTCAGTTCCACACAGCAACACTAGCAGAAACCTGGATGTTTATTCTCCCAAGATGGTAGGAGAAAGGATCTAAGAACTGGGAGACACCAGGAATAATCAAGAGAGAGATGCTTATTCAATTAGCACTCTTTCCTTTCTTACCTCACAGATAGGAGTTACCATATTAGCAGAAATAACGACCCTGATATTCATGAGGAGCGGGGCTGCTGCTACACAGTAGGAGCAGAGAGTAATATACTTAGCACTCAATTGATCTAGTGGGGTATCTCTTAGGACTAAATGAAGCAGTGGGGACTGTGGCTCATCCCATGAACCCTCCTTTTATACGTTTACTAGAGGTTGTGACTAACCAGAATCCTGGAGATGTCATGTATGTTAAAAAAAAATGCGTTACCTAATTTGTCATTAATCTTCTATCTTTCTTCTATCAATATTTTGCTGTATAAAAGCTTTATATTTGTATGCAATAAAAGTATTAGTATTTTCATTTATGGCTTTTGGTTTTTATGGAGTGCTTAGAGTAGTTTTTTTCCACATTAAGATTATGAAAACATACACTCATATTTTATTTCAATATGTATATGGGGTTTTTTTGTTGTTTAGTCCTTAATCCATCTAGAATTTATTTTTGTGAATAGGGATCTCACTTCAGTGCATCCAAATGGAGAGCCAATCATTATATTAACCCATCTCTCTTTTCCATACTAATATAAAATACCACCTTTATCATCTATTAAAGTTCCATATATATACTATTATAAACTGTAGCAGATACCATGTGGCAAATACAATGTCTTAGAATTCTTCAAGCCTAAAAGGATACAGCTACTGTAAGAATGGGTTTCAGCATCAACACAGATATTTATGCCTAGACAGAAAAAGATGTCTGTATGCTTAGCTGTCAAATAGAAAGAGACTGTAAATGACATCATAAGGAGTGGTAGAATTCTATTTGGAACTTCAGAGACTTTAGGGGAAGAGTCTTGCCAACTTCTGCTCTACTTTGAAGACTGCGGCTTAATTCACTGGCTTCTTTGGATCCCTTGTGCTAAGTCATTTTTCAGTAAGTGACACAGCTCTCTTTAAACCCTATACAATAGTGGATGGGTGTATCTGTTATAAATGTCTTAAGTGACAGAAAGCCCAAATTATAAAGACTCAAATAGGAGTTTATTTTTCTTATACCAAGCATTCCAGAAGTAGGAAGATATACATGTTGGTTTAGTGGATTGAAATTGTCAGAGCCAAAATAGATGTCATTTTCTTGGCCTTTTTCTCATGTACATTGCCTCATGGTCACAATGGCCACTCCAACTTTGGTGAACACTTCAACAAAGTTCAAGGCAGCACAAAGGAAAAATGGTAGCACTTTCTCTTTGATCAATACAGCGCAAAGTCTTCCCAGAAGTTACCCATCAGATCTCTGTTATGCTTTCTTACCCAGAACTATGTCAACATAGCCATTGCTGGCTGCAAGGATGACTGGGGAAAAGGAAGATTCAGCTTTTTTAGCTTCTCTAATTATATGTAGTAAGTGAAAAGGGGGTGGGAATGACTGTTGGCTCAGGCAGTGAACAGTATCTTCCAAAATTTACCATCCATTTATTAAAAACAAATTATTGATCACCTAAACACCTTATATGCTGGGTACTGTTCAGCAGTAAGTAAAACAAAAGAGACAAAAATCCCCACCCTCAGGTTCCTGACATTCTAATTAGGAAAGACAAATAATAAAATAAACAAAAAAGTAAAATATGTATTACACTAGGTTCCAATGAAGTTTATAGAGAAAGATAAAGCAGGAAAGACAATTAGGAAGTTCATGGGAGAGTGGTACAATTTTATTTTTTATTTTCAATTACAGTTGAAATACATTTTTATACTAGTCTCAAGGGTATCCCCCAGTGATTTGATATTGCATAACTTACTAAGCAATCATCCCAATAAATCTTGCACCCATCTGACATCATATGTATTTATTAGAATATTATTTACTATATTCCCTATGCTGTACTTTACATCCCCATGATTATTTTTTAACTATCAATTTGTACTTCTTAATCCCTTTACCTTTTTCACCTAGTCCCCCAACTCCCTCTCCTCTGTCAACCATCAAAATGTTCTCTGTATCTATGAGTGTTTCTGTTCTGCTTGTTTTTTTATTTAATTTTTTATATTCAATTGTTGATAAATATGTATTTATCATTTTATTGTTCACCTTTTTAATCTCTTTTTTGGTTAATCCTCACCTGAGGATATTTTTCCATTGATTTTTTTTTTTTTTTTTAGGTAGAGTGGAAGGGTGGGAGGGAGGGAGAGAGCACAAAACATCTATGTGGCAAAGAAACACCGATTGGTTACCTCCAGCATGACCCCAACTGGAGTTGGGGATCAAACCTGCAATCAAGGTATGTGTCCTTGACTGGGAATTGAACCCATGACCCTTTGATCCTCAGGCCAACGCTCTAACCACTGAGCAAAACCAGCCAGGGCCTTCTTCTTCTTAAAGAGGACCCTTTAACAGTTTATGTAATACTGGTTTGGTGGTGATGAACTCCTTTAGGTTTTTCCTGTCTGGGAAACTCTTTATCTGTCCTTCAATTCTAAATTATAGCTTTGCTGAGTAAAGTAAGCTTTATTGTATATCCTTGTTTTTCATCACTTTGAATGTTTCTTGCCAATCCCTTCTGGACTGAAAAGTTTCTGTTGAGAAATGAGCAGACAATCTTAGGGGAGCTCCCTTGTAGGAATTAACTGCTTTTCTCTTGCTGCTTTTAAGATTTTCTCTTTGTCCTTAACCTTTTGCTTTTTAATTACAAAGTGTCTTGGTGTGGGCTTTTTGGGGGTTCATCTTGTTTGGGACTCTGTGTTTCTTGAATTTCTATGTGTATTTCCTTCACCAAGTTAGGGAAGTTTTCTGTTATTATTTTTTTTGCAAATAGGTATTCTTTTTTTAAATTTATTTTTTGTTATAGATGTTTTTCCACCATTGACACCCTCTTCCCAATCCTGCTCCACCCCCAGCATTGTTGTTTATGTCCATTGGTTATGCATATATGTTCTTTGGTTTATCTGTTCCCTCCTCCACACGGTCCCCCTCTTATGAGGTTTGTCAGTCTGTACCCTACTACCATGTCTCTGGGTCTATTGTGTTCATCAGCTTATTCTGTTCATTATATTCCACAAATAAGTGAGATCATGTGATACTTGTCCCTCTCTGACTGGCCCACTTTGCTCAGCATAATACTCCCCAGGTCCCTCCATGTTGTCTCAAAGGATAAGAGATCTTTCTCTCTTACAGCTGCATAGTATTCCATTGTGTATATGTAGCACCGTTTTTTTTATGCACTCATCTATAGATGGATACTTGGGCTGTTTCCAGATCTTTGCAATTGTAAATTGTGCTGCTATGAACATAGGGGTACATATATTCTTTCTGATTGGCATTTCAGGCTTCTTAGGATATATTCCCAGAAGTGAGGTCACTGAGTCAAATGGCAGTTCAATTTTTAATTTTTTGAAGTAACACCATATTGTTTTCCATAGTGGCTGCACCAGTCTGCATTCCCAACAGCAGTGTACTAGAGTCCCCTTTTCTCCACACCCTCTCCAACTTTTGCTGTTTGATGATTTGTTGATGGCAGCCATTCTGTGATGTCTGAAATTTTGTTGCCTACATTTTCTTCTAGGATTTTTATGGATTCACGAGTCACATTTAAGTCTTTGTGTGAGTACTCTATACATTTTGGAAATTAGCCCCTTATCTGATGTATCGTTGGTAATTATGCTCTCCCCTTTAGCGAAAGTGGGCATCCCTGTCTTGTTCCCGTTCTTAGGGGAAATGCTTTTAGTTTTTGCTCTCCCATTTTGATGCTTGTTACTTTTGTTTTGCAGAAGCTTTTTAGTTTAATGTAGTCCC